AAATGACTCTTAAGACGTTTCACTTTGCCGGCGTATCATCAATGAACATCACGCAAGGCATACCACGTCTTAAAGAAATAATCAACGCTGTCCAAACCGTAATTTTTTTTGCTTACAAATCAAAATTACGGAGCTTAGACTCTGTCTTCATAGGTTTCGACACCATTAATAACTGCAAGGTTGACCAGCGCAAAAGACGAGAATTTTGCGCGGCAGGTTAAGGCTCGAATAGAAGTAACCACACTGGGTTGTTCTCCTCTTTGGCCTCCATGTATGCCATATTTGAAAATTTTCTATTAGCTAATTTTAGGAGAGATTTGTGACTACATAGAAGAGATAATTTTGCCCAACAGTTCTTTTATCCTGCTAAAGCTAAGCCTAAAAAGAATCAAACTTCTTAAGTTGGAGGTAAGTTACTTCCATAGTAATCTTTGGGGTCATAAATGAGGTTTTAATCCATTGTTCAGGTGACCATGTCGAGTCTGGTTCAAAGTATCTTACAGTCTCCAAAATCGCTTTTTAAGTTTACAAAGGTGCTAATCTATATTTCAATCTATGCACAAGTAAAACAGTAAAACAAATTCTTCAGATTACTACTTTGGGCAAATCTATGATGGTGATCCATCCAACAAACCCCTCTAACGGCAATACTTGCATCACTCTTCAACTAATAAAACAGGCTCTGCAGAAAGTCATAATAAAAGGTACGCCGCTTACTCTTTTTGGAAAATTTTGAGTGCTACAGGTCTGATTATAGGTCTTCCGGATGTTAAACGATGTGTTATCCAAACAGATGAGAAACACAGCAACGAGTTCAGTATTGTTGTTGAAGGAAGCAATTTCCTTGGAGTTTTATCTCAAATTGGTATTGACGGTCGTTACACAAAATTCAACAATGCGGTCGTTGTAGCTCAGGTTACCTTTACTCTTTCCAAGTTCAAACTGCTGTAGAGGTTCAATTTCGAAAGCAGGTGAATAAGAAGGGCAAAGGAAGTGAAAGGGGTTGCATTTTTATTTTATAAGTTTGGCTCGCCCAAAAATTGAACGACAATTGTGTCATTGTCAAAATACAGAATGCCTAATTATTGGAAAGTAGTAATTCTTTATCAAAGGGAAACAACAAAGAGAGAGGGAAAGGTGTACGAGAGGATAGATGATTTTTTTGGATTTCAGTGGACTGTTCTAGAAAGGAACCGCTTCAATTGGAACTCATTCTTCAAAGTTCGAATCTTAGTTTCGTTTATGATGTTCTCCAAACTTGCGCTAAGCTCTTTTGTACCGACGACTGCACAAAACTATAATATTTCGATGATATATTGAGCTCATTATAGAAGTCGCACAAATACTGAAATTTTCTCAAAATTTTCTATATTTTCTCAGGTTCTGGGGATTGAAGCCGCTCGCTCTTGTATAATCAGTGAAATCATGGCAACTATGGAAGCCCATGGTATAATTCTGGATAGGAGACATGTTATGCTATTGGCTGATTACATGACATTTCGGTACAGTCTAACGAAGTGCCGTTATTTCATCTAACCTTAAGGCTAATCA